ATCTAACGCGTGGGGATCAATAACAAAGCCTGTCTCACGGTGTGTGACGATTCGCTCAGGCACGGTGGGTGTGAACGCACAACCTCGTTTGTTTCTGCAGCAGCCGTAGTCATAACTATATACAAATAGTTCACCTGTATTGCAAATGTCCATGTGTGGGCCACAGGCTGATTCATGCCGTGTCCTCAAAGCACTCCGGGAGGTGGGTTCTTTTATGGTGCCTATTTCTGAGGCGGGTTTGGTCACCCACCTGACGGTAAGCAGGGTAGTAACGCCACTTAGTGAACAGGTGGTTTTTGTTTTTAATGACCTTGTACATTTGAAAAGGCAGTACAGAGTCTTCATTTGCAATCCACTATCAATGGACTGGTGCATGCCTGCTTATGCATGGGCGCTATGGATGAGTCCCTGTGTCAGTGCCTACAGATGCATATAAACAAGGACGCCTAGGGCAGCCTCAGGCAGGTCACAGCCTGGAAGGGAGACAGATGAGGAAAATACTGCCAAATAGGGCGGGAAATGCTGGGTTCCACCCATGAGCCCCAGACAAAGCAGCACATGACCAGCCACGCCTCGGGGAGAAGTTGGGAAACCCTCGCTGCAAGGGTGACCCTTAAACCAAATCTTCAACCAGAGGAATGAGAAGGGGCATCTCAAGCAGAGAAATGGGCATGTGCAATGGTTTAGAGCCTTTTAACAGCGCAGAGAGCCATCAAAAGGTCAGGCACAGAGTGGGGCAGAGCTTCGAAGACAAACTGGCTTAGGCCAGGGGCCCTTGCACGCTTGCGAAGGCGTCTGGACTCCATCCCGTGATCCATAGGCATCCATTATCCACTAAACAGCTATAAGAAGGCTGACTCTGACACCTGCCCCGGGAGTTCTGGTAAACCATCGGAGTCACTCTCCATCACACCCAAGGCTCGGCTAGTCTGTGGCTCTACCTTGGAAGCATTTCCTGAATCAAGCGAGGGGACTATGGACATAATTGCATGCACAGGGGCAGATCCAGGGGCGATCTGAGGATGCAGGAAGCACGGGAAGGGGGGAGGAGCTCTGATCATTCACCCACAGAAGAGAAAGCATCGTCTGTGGGCGCAGGCAAGGAAGGTGGGAGCCCTCCTCTGTCTGCAAGGTCACCAGTAGAGCAGAAATACAGTTCTCTTTAACTTTTTTTTTTTAAATATATTTTATTGATTTTTTACAGAGAGGAAGGGAGAGAGATAGAGAGTTAGAAACATCGATGAGAGAGAAACATCAATCAGCTGCCTCCTGCACATCTCCTACTGGGGATGTGCCCGCAACCCAGGTACATGCCCTTGACCGGAATCGAACCTGGGACCTTTCAGTCCGCAGGCTGACGCTCTATCCTCTGAGCCAAACCGGTTCCGGCCTCTTTAACTTTTTTTAAGCAGTAACAGCATCAAAACCCAACTCCAGCTTGGAAGGGAGGCGTGGGGACAATAGTAGTGTATTCTGTTAGAAATGCTACATCACCAACCCTTGGTCCTCAGAATAAGATTATATATGTTAAAAAAAAAAAGTGTAATCAATGGAAATCAATGACTGAAAGGAAATGGTCTTCAGAAGAATAGCATGTGAGGGAAGGGAAATTTTAGGAACACAGTAGGTTTATTTCCCCTGTATTCTCGTATATATACACATATGTATTTTTCCCACAGACACATGTAGACATAAAATCTGTCTCAACCTAAAAGAGCTCTTTTAATAGGTATAAAGTACGAATTCTATGTGACAAGAAAATAATGCTTTCTCGACCCCTCTTCCCCTACTAGCCATGACCCCGTTTTTCTGCTCTATTTACAGCAAAGATCCTCCTGGGGAGAGGTCTATGCTTGCTGTCTCCATCCTCTCCTCCCAGCTCTCTTCTCCAATTGGGTGTCTGACCATCACTCACCAAATCTGTGTCTGTCAAGGTCACCAAAGAACTTTATTTTGCTTAATCCAACACTCCATCCTCAATTCGTTTTACTCCACTGGCAGCATTTGACAGGTCTGATCGCTCCTTCCTCAAACACTTCACTCACTTGGATTCCTGGAACCACATTTTACCCCCCTGCCCTCTCCATCTCCACTCCTCTCCAGGTTCTTGTCTCTCTAACCTTGACACATGGGCATGTCCCACGGCTCAAGCCAAACATCAAGAAACTAAAATTTCAGCCCTGGCTCAACCTTACTGGTTTGGCTCAGTGGATAGAGCATCAGCCTGCAGACGGAAGGGTCCCAGGTTCGATTCCGGTCAAGGGCACATTGCACGGGTTGCAGGCTCAAGCCCCAGGAGGGGGCATGCAGGAGGCAGCAGATCAATGATTCTCTCTCATCATTGATGTTTCTATCTCTCTCCATTCCTCTCTGAAATCAATAAAAAAAAATGTATTTTAAAAAATAAGTTAAAAAATCAACTAAAATTTCATTTGTCAACATCCGCTCACAGCTGTCTCAAATACCACAAACCTAGAAAGTGAGAGCTTCCAGCTATTTCCTGGCTTAGAAGATTGTGGGCTCTGTATCCATTTCAAATTAATACCTTCAGTGGAACCTCAATCAGGTGGACAGAATGGCTCTTAGACAGGGCAAAAGGCACAAGAACTAGTATTGACATCTCTAAATTCAGAAGGTAAGTCTGCTGGGATGCATGTCAGGGTTTCTAGGTTATTCACTATTGAGTATGAATAGAGCCGATGCAGTAAGAACCTTATGACAGAAGCATCTAGAACCTTTACCAAGAAAGATATATGAGTAGCTAAAGGCAAAGATATTTGGAGATGTCATCCCTCAAAAAAATCTGTAAGCTTTGCAAGCGTTTTAAAATTTATGTTATAATCTATGACAATAGCAGGGGGGAAATGTTTCAAATAATTTTGCTAATAGTGAATATCAATTAAGTTACACAGTATGTGCTGGACACCTGCAGGCATGTAAATACGTCAGCTTGCTGAATGAAGTCTCATTTGAGGATTTAATGACAACTTGTATAATACCAACTCGCCTGTCCAGCACCCAGCTGTTTAGAAACCTTCTCTCTCTGAAATGAGGCCAAGAACCAAGAAGAAAACTCACCACCATATTCAGGTGCCAGCCTTCCAGGGTTCACTTTTGGGAGAGGCCCTCGCCCATAAGACACTAGAGAGGAAACTGCACTGAAGTTGGAACCAGGAAGTTCAGGTTCAGACTGAAGAACCAAAAAGCACAACCGCCTAAGGGGGGCCACTGGGCTGTTTAGCTCATTATAACCTGGTGGCTTATCTGATAGCACAGTAATGATTCCTTTAGGGCTCAGATCCTGCTGTGCTCACTGTGATTCCTCCCTTCTCCCCCGTAGGGAACAGATTTTGCAGAGCATTGTAAATGCTCAATTTTCATTAGGGATGCTTATAATGACGGTCCTTAGTCCTCAAAAGGATTCAATTATATCTAATATGTGCTACAAAGAGAACAGCAAAAACACATTTGAAAAGATTTCCTATGATTGTTGACACTGGAACAAGGGATAGAACGTTAAAGAGAGAGTGAGAGATCCGCAGCTGTCCAGAAAAACTGATTATAGAGAACAGCTTAGAGAACAGCCCCCGAGGGTTCCAGGACACCGGAGTTTCAGGAAATGCACTCAGTGCAGCTCTTCCTGCTGGTGGGCCGTGCATCCTGACCTGCTCTGCCTCCGAGGCTGGAGGCCGGGGGGAGAGCGGGCATCCGTGGGCTCCAGTGTAATGGAGATGTCTGCTGACTCCCAGGACAGAACAGCCAGAACTGGGGCAGCTCAAAAGGGGTCCAAGGAGTCAGCAATCACCGCCCGAGTGAAAACTGACCTCACTTCTAAAAGCGTACGGCTCTCACTGCGGACAAGCCTGTCCTTTCTTGGGGGGTGCTAGCCAGCAGGTTGAAGGCAGACGGGCAAGGGAGCCGCATTGGAGGTGCTGGGGGACCCTGATAAGACACTGCCATCCGGAAGAAGGGATGACTACATAATTAGCAAAGTCTATAAAGTCACTTGGTGGTAAAAGGCACTGCTCTGGTTGCTAGGCAGCCGAGGTTCCCTATCATTCAGGATGTGTGGCGGAGGGCCTCTTTCCCCTCCCTTTTAAGTTGAAAGTGGGTTCCTTACACGGTGAAAGAGAAAATGGGTGTGCCAGTCGGGTTCACCAACTTTCTGTGCAAACTCTTTCTGCCCGGCCCCAGAGGCACTGTCCCATTGAGCTGGGGCTTCCGAGTTGACTGTAGGGTGCACCCCCCAGAGGCGCCTGCACCGCCGCAGCAGAGCGAGCGGCCCTGAGCGAGGGAAAGCGGAATCTCGAGCAAAACTTCTCGCTTCCTGTCGCTGCCGAGAGAGGCTGGCCTCGTTCCTTCTCACATGGCTCAGCCAGAACTGTAAACAGAGCCGCTCGCTCCTGCCGGCCCCACGCTCGGGGGCTCTCGGGGCGCCTCCCTGCGGTGCCCCCTTTGCCTCCCTTCGCCCAGGGTCATCCCGGTCCGGATAACGGTCCGGAACGCCCTCCACTTCCTCGAGTCCTCCCTGAAGTCATGGTTCCTCTTTCAAGAAAACATGGGGACGAGACGCAAGCCAGAGACTTGCACTAAAGGCAGCCTCAGCCCATCATCTGGGTGCATCCCACCCCTCCGTTATTGCACAGGGGCGGCTCCGAGTCCTTTTGTTGCACACACGCGCGCGCGCACACACACACACACACACACACACACACACGCACCAAAGTAGGTGAGGGGCCCCTCCGGTAGTATTGTTTCCCGCCGCACAGAACGCCTTTCCGAAACCCTCCTACCACCTCCGGACGCTGGGCTTTAGCGTTCAGCTAAAGAGCCAAACCTTCCCAGCCGAGGTCTGAAAAGCCGAGGTGGTCCCCCAAGCAGGACGCTGGGAGGCAGGGCAAGCCGGGCGCACCTAGAGGTTTGCATCCACACAAAGGCATTAGCCGGGTGATGAGTGGGAGCAGCGGGCCGGGGAGCGAGGCGCCCGCCGGCCTCCTCACCTGGGACATCTGCGGCCTCAGGTTGATCTCCTTCAGGTTGATGGAGCGCGCCCGGAGGTTGTTGAGCAGCTGGCAGAGGAGGACTCCATCGCGCAGGGTCTGCGCCAGGTCGAACACCTGCGCCGAGTCCCAGGTCACCCGGTGGTTGGCGGGCAGCACCTTGCAGTGGATGAGCCATTGGGCGCACTGCCTCCACGGCTCCATGCCCGACGGCTAGGGGACGCGGCCCGGCCGGGGCGGGCGGCGAGGATGCGGCCGCCGCTCTGGTTCCTGCGCGCCCCGCCGACGCCAGCAGGGCCGGCCCCTTCCCGGCGAGGGGGCCGGCGCCGCGGTGGCCGGGTCTCGGGGCCCCGCGCGGGGCTCGGCTCGCTCCCCGCCCCGCGCCCGCCGCCGCTGCAGCGAGTCCCGCGCGCTCCCCGGCCGGTTCGGCGGCGGCGGCGGCGGCGCACAGGCTTCCGACTCGCGAGCCGGCGCCCGGCCACTGAGCATGCCCAGCGCGCCGCCCGGCTGCCGGCGGAGTCCCCGGAGGCGCGGGTGGGAGCGCGCCGCCCTGGCCCGGGGTCGGCGGCCGGGCGGGGGCGGTTCGGGGCGTCCCACGCCTCCGCCCACCCCCCACGGCCCCGGGCGCCAGGGGATGGTCTCCGGGGCGGCTTCCCGGATTGGGGGACGGCGGCACGATGGGCTTCCTACTGGGAACCCCCCAAAGGCGGTTGCGGTTCCGTAAAGAGTCTGCGAAGAGCAAAGGAGGAATTGGGGCACCCGGATCGCCCCCACCAGAGACACGCAAACGGGGCGCAGAGCATCTGGAGGACGCAGCGCTGAAAGTTTGAGAGATGGGCACCCCTCACCCTCGTCGTTCTGGCCCCTACATTTCTCTCCCAGCCCGTAATCGCTCCTCCTCGGGGTTACGAGCGCCTGAGGATGTTTTTGGCACCGTAAACGTGTGTGTGTGTGTGTGTACGTGTATGTACACACGCCTGCGGAAACTGGCCCCCAGCCCCAGGGCCTATTGGGCCGCGAGGTGACTGCCACTTAGAGATGCTATGTCCCTGCTCAGGTGCAGAACTGCTCCCGGTCGCGGTCCTGGCCCCTGTGCTGACCGCACAGAACCTGCCCCAGAGAAATAGGCCTGCGACGCCCACGGAGCCTGGCGGCCACACTGCGCATGCGCCGGTGACCCGGGAGCTGGTCGGAGAGCAATTAGCATCGGCCCCCAGCTGCGGGGGTGCGCCCAGCTTGGGACCCCCGGTGGAAGTTGGAACACGCCTCCAGAAGGTGCGCACTGGCATTTCTTAAATCCTGGGGGGGGGGGGGGGGGGGGGGGGAGTCTTAAAGCTGCCCCTTTTACTCCCGCTGCCCCCCAAAACCAAAAATAGTGTTTAAATTATTTATGGCAAGAAATCGCCACGTTGAACTCTTGCTGTTCTGTGTACATGTGGTTCTCCGCCTTTTACATTTAAAGGTGAGGTCTTTTAAAAGATGAAAAGTAAAATAGGAAACCCTGCTAGTTGGATTTCAGATGTTTTATGATTACATGACTGCAGTTCCCTTTTTTTTATTACAAAACATGAATTTTATAAGCAGGTCAAATGTTATTTTTAAAAGTGTCTGATCTGTGGGCAGGGACTGCCTCCTCCACGGGCCTGTGACGAGGTGGCACAGTGAGTGCCCCCTTTGTTCAAGTACCAGTCACCCGAGGATTTCCTCCCCCCACCCACCCCCACCTTCCCCATCCATTTCCGCTTGTGCTCATTCCAGACTGCGCCTGTGACATGGTGTTTTCTAAACTAGAATTCTGGCCAACGCATCACCCTAACTCTACATCTCATCTTCAGAAACAAAATCCAACACATCTGAATCACCAGGTAACACAAGATCCTGCATAAAGAGGAATTAAACTGGAAAATAAGTTTCATAAAACAAACAGTTGCCCTAGCCCAGGGGTGGGCAAACTTTGACTCGAGGGCCACAATGGGTTCTTAAACTGGACCGGAGGGCCGGAACAAAAGCATGGATGGAGTGTTTGTGTGAACTAATATAAATTCAAAGTAAACATCATTACATAAAAGGGTACGGTCTTTTTTTTTTTTTAGTTTTATTCATTTCTAACGGGCCGGATCCGGCCCGCGGGCCGTAGTTTGCCCACAGCTGCCCTAGCCGGTTTGGCTCAGTGGATTGAGTGTCCATCCGCTGACTGAAGGGTCGCAGGTTCAATTCTGGTCAAGGGCATGTACCTCAGTTGCTGGCTGGATCCCCAATCCCGGTAGGTGCGTGCAGGAGGCAACCAATCGCTGCGTCTCTCTCACATCAATGTTTCTCTCTCTACCTCTTCCCTGTCCCTTCCACTCGCTCTAAATAAAAAAAATAAAAAAAATAAAAATCCTCAGGTGAGGATCAACAAAAAGAAAAGAAACAGTTAACTAAACGTATCAATTCTGTTTCGGGTCGCCTCAGAACACCCGTGGGTGCTGTCGGGCATTTCCAACCCCAGGTAACATTCACTACCCCAGGACGCAGCCTTAGGTTGGAGTCCAAGCTCTGCTGTTTCTGGCAACATGGCCTTGGGAAAATCATCTAAGTCCTCTAACCTTCAGCTCCCAACGTATGGAAAATGGAAAATAACAGTTACCTCATAGTGTCGCCAGCATCGAATGATACAATGCCTTGCTATTCAGAATGCAGTCTGTGGCCCAGCCTTTTCGCCCAGGAGCTCCAGGGCCCTGCCCAGAGCAAATGAATCAGAACCTACCTTTTAACAAGACCCCCAGGTGACAGAGATTTGCATTAAAGTCCAGGGAGCACCTATGTAACTCGTAACATGTGGGGTGCCTACCGCTTAGTAAACGCTCCATTCACATTAGCCCGCTTTCAGTTCCCGAAAAGACAGCAGTGTCCAAATAAATGCTACTGAACGTCTTACAGCTCATCTATATTATAACACATACATAACACAACTTCAAAACATAACACTAGTCCAATACAGTAAACCAGCGAGTGGAGGGAGGGGCAAGAGGAAGATGCTGTATGCAAGGCCCGAACAGAAGGAAGAGCAGGGCTCTTCAAGTAAACAGGAGCGCGGTGGCCAGGGGGAGCTCACGTGGAGCCCACTCAAGTGTCAGAAACCAGGGCGCCAGCAAAAATGGCGGTGAGCTTTGTGGAGCTGCCAGCCACAGCCTTTTTCCTTTAAAATAAGGGGGGACTGCCCTAGCCCGTTTGGCTCAGTGAATAGAGCATCGGACTGTGGACCAAAGGATCCCAGGTTCGATCGCAGTCAAGGGCACATACCTTGGTTGCAGGCTCCTCCCCGGCCCGGGCCCTGGTCGGGGCACGTGTAGGGGACAAGCAATCCATGTGTTCCTCTCACATAGATGTTTCTCTCTGGCTTTCCTTCTCTCATCCACTCTCTCTAAAAGACCAATAGAAAAATATCCTCAAAATTCAACCCGGGACCCTTTGGTCTGCAGGCTGACACTCTATCCACTGAGCCAAACTGGCTAGGGCAATAAAAATATTTTTTTAAAAAAGAACTCCAAAATGTTGAAAATCCTGACTCATCTGCATAATTCACAGTGAACCCCCACCCACCCCTCCCAGGGTCAGCACTAATCTCCCAAGCTACCCTGCTCCTGCTAAGTGGTCCAGCTTCCTCACAACACCATGGGTGAGGGGCTGCCACCGCCGCTGGGAAGACAGGTGATCAATACTAGCCCGGGCTGCTGGCTCCCAGCCTATCTCCAAGCTGGGGAATCGAGTTACTTCAATCAAAGTGAATGAGGTTTCCCTGCGGCTGGCTATCAGTGCCTTTCATTTTGATCTGTCTTATATGCAAGTGCCTGGGAAGATGTGGCAGCCGGCTGAAATTTCTCTTCACGGCTGCTTGCTGTGATCTGCGTGTGAATGGCAGGTCACCGGGCCCCTCCTCCCCCCATCCCCCCCCCTCCCCCCCGTGAGGCCACCAGTGTCATGTTCAGTAACAGTGAAGAGAAGACAGATGCTGCTGACCGAAAGCCAGTGGTCCCCGGCCCTGGAATGAGGATGATCGGAAAGGTCCTTGCTCCAGGGCCCCATCCGGTTTGGACATAGTAGGGCAGACACCTGCCTAATTGTTGTTTTTCTCATGCTCATCACTTGTCTCACATACAGGGATGAAAACTTAAACTGTTCTTTCACAAGGTCCTGAGTATCTATGAAGGTGGCAATAGTTTCATTATAGATTAAAAAGCATTTCTCAACTCTAAAGAGCCAGAGCTAGCATCGGTGAAGAAAGGACTCTGTCTTTTAAAAATCTAATTATTTCTGAAGTCAGCGGGAACGACCCCTTTCCACATCTCTGCATTTAAGGACATAGATAATATTTTGCTGTTTGGGAAAACTGATCCAAAGAAAACCTGGGTTTAAAGATACTGTCTTTTTCAAACACCCTATGATTTCACTAAATGTGGAATCGAAAGAACAAAATAAATGAACAAACAAATGAAGCAGACTCATAGGCACAGAGAGCAGAGTGGTGGCTGCCAGAAGGGAGAGGGTTGGGGAACCGGGCGAAAAAGGTGAAGGGACTGAGAAGGACAGATTAGCAGTTACAAAACAGTCCCGGGGATGTAGTCAATAATCTATATAATAAAAGCCTAAGCGACCGTGAAGGCGGAACGACCCAGAACGACCGGTCCCTAAGGTGCTCACTGACACCAGGGGCAAATGCTCAACACAGGAGCTGCCCCCTGGTGGTTAGTGCGCTCCCACAGGGGGAGAGGCCACTCAGCCAGAAGCCAGGCTCACGGCTGGAGAGTCCAGCGCGGGAGCCTCTCCTGCCTCCACAGCAGAGCTAAGGAGCCGCAAGCCAAGCAGTAAGGAGCAAGCAGGCAGGTGGTAAGGAGCAAGGGATCCCAGATCCCCTGGGGATCGGGCCTAAGCCGGCAAGTGGACATCCCCCGAGGGGTCCCAAACTGCAAGAGGGCGCAGGCCAGGCTGAGGGACACCCCCTTCCCCAGTGCATGAATTTCGTGCACCAGGCCTCTATATTGTAATAACTAAGCATGGTGTCAGGTGGGTAATTGAATTATCAGAGGGATCACTTTATAAATTACTTAACTATCTAACCATAATGCTGTATGCCTGAAACTAATACAAAGTAAAACTGAATGAAAACTATAACTGAAAAAATTTAAACTTTTTTTAAAAATAAAAACTATACATTGTCTTTTTTTGGGTGTCTTTTCTTCCAAATAGTCCACCTCAAAATTTGCCACGATATTTTCATACTCTGCAGATAAACTGGAGAAAATGCAAAAGCTCTGAATTCCACTTTTCAGGAATGAGCTAAGCAGTGGTCAGTTTGCAGTAGGGTTAGAAAGAAAGCTGGCCATTT